GGACTAGGATCGTTTCTCTTTTAAGAAATGTAAAGACTCAAGCCGGGCGCAGTGGCTCACGTCTGTATTCCCAGCAGTTTGCGAGGCCAAGGAAGGTGGATCACTTTAGGTCAGGTGTTCGAGACCAGCCTGGCCAACAAGGTGAAACTCCGTCTCTACTAAAAATACAAAAATTAGCCGGGCATGTGCCTGTGGTCCCAGCTACTCGGGAGGCTAAGGCAGGATAATTGCTTGAACCTGGGAGGCAGAGGTTGCAGTGAGCCGAGATCGCGCCACTAAACTCCAGCCTGGGTGACACAGCAAGACCGTCTCTCAAAGAAAAAAAAAGAAAAGATGAAAAGAAATGTAGTGACTCAGCCAAGAGACGTGTGGGGCCTTGGGCTCTCTCCTGTGCTGTCTTCAAAGCATCTTTCCAGACGGCTGCACGTCTGTAGTCACAGAGTCAGGGGCTTTGTGAAACTGCCGACAAGCAGAAAGGAGTAAACACGGCTTCTTAACGTTCGTTGATTTGTCTCACAACAGCAAAATACTTTCTTTAGCATACATTTCACAATCTGTAGTTGTTTTGTTTGCCAGTTTATTGTCTGCCTTTCTGGCGAAACAGGAAACTGGGAGTGTGACAAGTCCCCCCTCCTTTCTGTATCCCCCGTGGCAAGAATAGTAGGAACCCAATAAATATTTGTAAATAATTGTTCATGAGTGGCCTGCGCAGGCATTGCTGGTGTCTCACCCCATTCCATCATTGTTCTTGTGCCTGTTGACAGCATTACCTCAGGGCTGTAAGAGAGGGAAAGTGGGCTGGGCGCGGTGGCTCACGCCTGTAATCCCAGCACTTCCGGAGGCCAAGGCGGGCAGATCACAAGGTCAGGAAATCAAGACCGTCCTAGGTAACACGGTGAAACCCCGTCTCTACTAAAAAATACAAAAAAAAAATTAGCTGGGTGTGGTGGCGGGCACCTGTAGTCCTGGCTACTCGGGAGGCTGACGCAGGAGAATGGCGTGAACTTGGGAGGTAGAGCTTGCAGTGAGCTGAGATGGCGCCACTGCACTCCAGCCTGGGAGACAGCAAGACTGTCTCAAAAACAAAAAAAGAGGGAAAAGGTTTTCTCTACCCATTTTAGGTCCATGGCTGGGGCTCTGTAATAAAATACAGATTACAAGAGAAAAGCAAACAAGTTTATTAACATGTGTATCACACATTCAACACACAGAGTACCCAGAGATGAATAACTCAGAGAGGTAGCTTAGAATTCAGGCTCAGTGTCTGCGGCCACACCACCCTGAACGCGCCCAGTCTCATCTGATCTCGGAAACTAAGCACGGTCAGGCCTGGTTAGTACTCAGATGGGAGAATTCAGGCTCACAGAGCATCTTCAACAAAGAATACATTCACAGGCAAGATAAAGGACAGCAACTTTTAGAGTTCCAAGGGTGGCTGTGTGTGGGAAACAGCTTTCTACCCATGGGAGCTGAGCCCTGTCCCCACTCAGGGCTGGGTCTGGGAGCCAATGGGCCTCCCTCTGGCTCCTCCTACTCCCTGGGCCACCAGTGACCCAGGCCCGGCAGTCACAGCTCTTAAGCCAGCTGCAGAACGAGGGCTGGGGTTCCTACTGCGTGTCCCAGAAGAGGGCTGAGGTTTGGACCCCCAAGATCCAGCCTAGGTTGGACTTCCAGGGGTGGCTAACTGTGAATGGGAAAGCAGCTATATGGAAAACGAGTGGTAGATAAAGGCTAGTGGGTCAAGTTTGTTATGGAGATTGCGCTGATGCCACTCCAGGCTGAAAAGGGTCTAAAGTTGTCTCTGACTTGTTCCAGACATTTATAGAAGGAAAACATTCTATGTAAATGAAATTGTCATTCTGTATCCTCCCACCACAGCAGAAGATGTGTCCTTCCATTGAGTGAGGGTAACGTTATGTCCACCAAGGATACTTTGAGAAAGTCCGTAGGAGCAAGCTTCAGTCCCACAGTTTCAGACTATTCTCTGAACACAAGAGTATTGGTTAATTATGTTCTCGGCCCCCCTCGCTGTTGTATGTGTGCACTCACTGCAAGTAACTTATATTTTATTTGAATGTATTTTATTTTTTTGAGATAGTCTTGCTCTGTCACCCAGGCTGGAGTGCAGTAGCGCCATCTCAGCTCACTGCAATCTCCACCTCCCAGGTTCAAGCGATTCTCCTGCCTCAGCCTCCCAGGTAGCTGGGATTACAGACATGCACCACCACACCCAGCTAATTTTTGTATTTTTAGTGGAGACGGGGTTTCACCGTGTTGGCCAGGCTGGTCTCAAACTCCTGACCTCAAGTGATCCACCCACCTCAGCCTCCCAAAGTGCTAGGAACACAAGTGTGAGCCACGGCACCCAGCCTCCCCCAAATATTTTCTATCTGTAGTTGGTTGAGTCCACAGACGCAGAGCCTGAGGACATGGAGGGCGACTGTACTTGTTCCTAAACCCTGTTCCAGATCTGCTCTGGGGACTTCACCCTAAGGCAGTGGGTGACTCACTTCCATCCTATCTTTCACAGCCAGGACACTGAGGCAGAGTCGCTGGGGTGAAAGGATCAGGGAAACATGAGCTCAAATCCCAGCTCCACACCAGCCATGATCTGCTGGTGAGAGCATCACTTAACCTACTCTGGCCTGAGTTTCTCCATCTGACAGACACTTACCACCCACTGCCCTCCAGGAGCTGCTGCTATGATTAAACGGCATATTTAACATGAGTCCTCGGCACATTCTTCAATATCAGCATCCACCCCTTCTCCACAACTTCCCCTGCCAAGTGTACACGCACATGCCTACACACATACACGTGCACACACACACTCCCTAGAGACGGCTGGAGGCTGGGCCAGGAGTGCATAGATCCTTTATTTCCTGCACCGCTTGCGCACAGGCTGACAAGCAATAGGAGGCTGAGAGGCGCCGCGTGGAGTGGGGCAGGCACCCGCAGGAGGCCTGAGTCCCAGCCCCCAGCTATTGAGGAACAAAGGTGTGGGAGAGGGTGGAACATGGAAGAGGAAGCCAGGGGCAGGGAGGGGGGAATCAACAGGGAGGGGAGAGGGGCTGGGCCATGGTTGGGAGCCTGGGCACCCCCAGGCCACTGGCAGAAGAGGGAGGGGAGGGAGGGAGAGGAGACACACCACTGGGCAGAGGGGCCCTCACCCACCCACACATAGAGACACTTGTGGTTACAAACAGTAAGCAGGGACCGAGAAGGATGAAGAACAGGGAAGACGGCCAGGTCCCTCAAGTCAACAAGAACCGGGGTGGCCACCGCTAGCCTGGGCATCAAGGGGTGAGGGGCCTCACAACTCCCTACCCGTGGAAGCTGGGCCATTCCCCACTCAGGGCTGGGCCTGGTAGCCAGTGGGTCTCCCCTGGGCTGCCATGTGACCCAAGCCTGGCAGCCACAGCTTTTGTGCCAGCTACAGAGCGATAGCCGGGGTTCCTACCGCCTGTCTCTGAAGAGGGTGGAGGCCCGGGTCCCCAAACTCCAGCCCAGGTTCATGAACACAGAGGGTGGGCTGGTGACAGACACAGGGTCCCATTTCAGAGGATGGGAAGGAAGGTCTGGGGATGTGGGCTTGGCCAGGCAGAAGGAGGGGCCTCAAGCTCTGTGGGGCCTCTGCAGGCTGCTGGGGAACAGCAAAGCCTGGAAGAGAAGCAGGTGGATGTGAACCAGGGCATTGAAGACCATAGGCCCAGCCTGGGCGGTGGGCAGGGGTCCGGACAACTGTATCAAAGACACAGAAAGTTGCCATTGATAATTATACAGGTTGTCCCCTGCATGTGCCATAAAGGTCATGGTTCAGTTTATAACCTGCACAAGCTGACATGACAGGCCTGCTGAGGCTAGTGCTATTCCACCCTGCAGTGACTAACGGCCATGAGAATGGGGACAGGCCGGAGCGGGTACCAGGACAGTACTAGAGGGGAGGGATGGGCCAGTGAAGGTGCTACAGCACAGGAGTGAAGAGCACAGGCTCAGATCTACCCCTCACCATGTGGCCCCGAACAAGTGTCCTTAGCTCTCTGAACCTCACCCTCCTCACCTAACCAATGGGGACACATCGCCTGCCACAAGGAGTGAGGCTGATGGGAGCTGACGCTTGTGCAATGGTTGCTGTGTATGAGTGTCACGAAGTCATCTTTCATGTCCCGTGACTCCTTAAAGAGGCAGGGCTCACAAGGCCTGCACTCAGCAGGTGCAACTCCCAGACACTGGGGTTTCTGGCTGGGGAGAGGAGACCCTGTTCCACCTCCCAACCCTGCAGGAAGCCCTAGCCCACCTTCCGACTCACCCAGGGGACTGGTCCAACTGTGGCCCTTGCTGGTGGAGGCCTTTGTCCCCGTAGCCTGGGCAGCCCCAGAAGGCCCCTCTTCCTCCCAGGCCCTGGGACGGTAGCTGGGCCTGTCCTCCACCTGGGTCAGCCCCTGGGCAGCTCCACAATCCCACTCCCGTGCTTGTTTTGACTGCTGCTGCCACTGCTGCAGGGTTGGAGAGCCTGGGGGACAGAGGAGGCAGGGGTAGGGGGCAGGGGAAGCAGGCAGGCGGAGACGGGAAGCTGAGATGCAGTGTGGGGGCACAATCCCAGTTCTGACCCCCAGCCCAGCCCCCAGGAGAGATCTGAAATCCTAAGCAAATGCCACATAAATGAGCACTGGCTCTACAGTTCCCACCGAAGGGGATCGGATATGCCTATGCAAATGATATGCAAAGTCCATGCAAATCAGCACGCCGGGTAGGGCCAGGTTTTGTTTTGTTTTGTTTTGTTTTGTTTTTTGAGACGGAGTCTGGCTCTGTCACCCAGGCTGGAGTGCAGTGGCCGGATCTCTGCTCACTGCAAGCTCCGCCTCCCGGGTTTACGCCATTCTCCTGCCTCAGCCTCCCGAGTAGCTGGGACTACAGGCGCCGCCACCTCGCCCGGCTAGTTTTTTGTACTTTTTTTTAGTAGAGACGGGGTTTCACCGTGTTAGCCAGGATGGTCTCGATCTCCTGACCTCGTGATCCGCCCGTCTCGGCCTCCCAAAGTGCTGGGATTACAGGCTTGAGCCACCGCGCCCGGCCGGCTTTTTCATCTGCACGAGGATCTGCAGCTTGTCCGGCTGGTGGCAGGGAGGTCCCCGTGGGGCCACTCACCTTTCTGGAACATCTTCCGCCTCAGCTGCCGCCTGTAATGGGCATCCTGCCAGTTGGCCTGCTGCTGGAGGACATACTTCATGTCCAGGTGTGAAGGGCCCAAGCCACTGGCCTCCAGGGCTGACGTCACCATGTTCATCCGCGTTGCCTCATCTAGCTCCGGTTCCACCTCCTCCCAGCCCTCAGTCTCCTCCGACACCAGCTCTGCCTCTTCCATCACCCCTTCCTCAGCCAGCACCTTTTCGGCAGTCCCCAGCTCCTCCTCAGGCACCAACTTCTCTGCAGGCGTGAAATCTTCCCCCGGCATAATATCTGCTGCCAGCATCAACCCTTCCTCAGCCTCAAACCGCTAAACCTGCCCTCCATCCTCACTGTTGCAAAAATCATACCTGGGCGGGAGATAGCGACATCTTTTGAAAGTCCAACCCCCCAGGCCCACCCCCACCCCTGTCTGCACACAGATCCTGATGGTTCCTCCCCGTTCTGTCCCAGCCAGGGGAGAGGGGAGCTGGGTACCAGCTCCGAGGCTTCAAACACCCAGCCCATCCCCCTTGTGGGAGAGAGGAAGAATGGTCACCAACACTGCATAGGCCCCACCTTCCTTTATGTCCCTGACCCTGCACAGAAGACACCAGCAGGACTAACACCCCCTTCTGCCTCCCTCCTGCATGATTTAACCTTCATAGCCCACCCCACAGCTACTTGCCATAGGAACAAATCCATTCTAGACAGACTCAGGTCAAATGACTTGCCCCAGGACACACAGTCAGGAAAGGGACCACGCTGGGCCTTAGTCCCAGGGTTCCCAGCTCCTAGGCCAGTGCCTGTTCACCTCTCAGCCCCTGGTCAGTCCCCACTCAGAGCTGCGTGGAATCAAACAGCCACCCAGTGGGCAAGATTTGAAGGAAAAGGGGGGCAGCTCCTTCCCAGAACAGTACCCAGCTCAGCCAGCCAAGACAGCAGGGCCTTCTTCAGGGTTGCAGGGTGGCAGAAACAGAGGCAGGTGGCTGTCTGGCTGCTGAAAGCTGAGGACAGGTGATGGGGGAGCCCCTGGCAGGCTTACCTTAGACTGGATGTGTCCCCTCTGGGCATCTCATACTTCCTTCAAAGAGAAAAGGACCTTCATTATGAGACAATGGAAGCCGAAACTGCAGTTCCTCAGGCTCGGTGGTGCTTAGGCAGTGGCCATGAGCAGTGGCTCGCACCTGTAATCCCAGCACTTTGGGAGGCCAAGGTGGGCAGATCACCTGAGGCCAGGAGTTCAAGACCAGCCTAGCCAATATGGTGAAACCCCGTCTCTACTAAAAATACAAAAATTAGCTGGGCTTGGCCAAGCACAGTGGCTCACGCCTGTAATCCTAGCACTTTGAGAGGCCGAGGCAGGAGGATCACAAGGTCAGGAGATCGAGACCAGCCTGGCCAACATGGTGAAACCCCATCTCTACTAAAAATACAAAAATTAGCTGGGCGTGGTGGTGGGCACCTGTAGTCCCAGCTATTCAGGAGGCTGAGGCAGGAGAATTGCTTGAACCCAGGAGGCAGAGGTTGTAGTAAGTTGAGATCGTGCCAACCTGGGCGACAAAGCAAGACTCAGTCTCAAAAAAAAAAAAAAAATTAGCCGGGCTCATGCCTGTAGTCCCAACTACTTGGGAGGCTGAGGCAGGAGAATCGCTTGAACCCAGGAGACAGAGGTTGCAGTGAGCCGAGATCTCGCCACTGCACTCCAGATCAAGTGACAGAGTGAATGAGACTCGTCTCAAAAAAAAAAAAAAAAAGAACTTCAGGCTGGGCACAGTGGCTCATGCCTGTAATCCCAGCACTTTGGGAGGCTGAGGCGGGCAGATCATCTGAGGTCAGGAGCTTGAGACCAGCCTGGCCAACATGGTGAAACCGCGTCTCTACTAAAAATACAAAAAATTAGCCCGGCCTGGTGGCGCACGCCTGTAATCCCAGCTACTTGGGAGGCTGAGGCAGGAGAAGTGCTTGAACCTGGGAGGCAGAGGTTGCAGTGAGCTGAGATCACGTCATTGCACTCCAGCTTGGGTGACAGAGCAAGACTCCATCTCAAAAAAAAAAAAAAAAAAAAAACAAGTACCTCAGGGGGAAGTGATGGGTCCATGTTTATAGAGAAACAGTGAGTGGAGGGGCTGATGCAGTGAACAAGGTGGGTATAGGGAAGCGTGGAAGGTCAGAGTATGAGGGCAAACCCCCTCCCCACTACAGGAAAGGCCATGGCCTACAGGGCAGGGTAGGTCCCCAGCCACATACCTTTCCATAAAATACACAGGGTCTGAGATCATCCTCCTTAGAGACGTTCTGAGCTCCTCCGTCAAGGTCTCCTGGAAACCAGGAAGAGTCTCCTATGGTGGAGAGAACAGATGTTACCAGGGGACCCCCACAGTGCCTGTAATCTCAGCTACTCGGAAGGCTGAGGCAGGAGAATCGCTTGAACCTGGGAGGCAGAGGTTGCAGTGAGCCGAGATCATGCCATTGTACTCTAGCCTGGGTGACAGTGAGACTCCGTCTCAAAAAAAAAAAAAAAAGAAAAAGAAAATTTGCCAGGCATGGTGGCACATACCAGTAGTCCCAGCTACTCAGGAGGCTGAGGCAGGAGAATCGCTTGAACCCGGGAGGTGGGGGATGCAGTGAGCCGAGATTGCACCACTGCACTCCATCTCAAAAAAAAAAAAAAAAGATAGAAAGAAATGAGGTCTTGCCAGGTTGCCCAGGCTGGGGTTGGAGTGCAGTGGCTATTCATAGGCGCGATCTTATTACTGATCAGCATGGGAGTTTTGACCTGCTCTGTTTCTGACCTGAGCCAGTTTACCCCTCCTCAGGCAACCTAGTGGTACTCCACTCCCTGGACCATACTGACCCCCCATCGGCATAGTGTACTACAGCCCAGAACTCCCAGGCTCAAGCAATCCTCCCACCTCAGACTCCTGAGTAGCTGGGACCACAGGTGGGAGCCCCTGTACCTGGCCAGGTTTGGTTTTAGAAAAACTCTTTGAGGCTGTGTGCAGAAGTTCCTGGTAGAGTTCCAGTAGAGGCAGTGTGACTAGTTAAGAGGTATCCTGGACTAGAGGTAGCCAGAGAGGGGAGGGGGAAAAAGACTTAGCCATTCCCAGGCGGTAAAAGCAACAGAGTTTGGGGACTGGTTCCTACTCTAGCAGCCTGGGGACTAGTGGGGCCATTCAGGGAGTTGCAGAACCCAGCAGGAAGGAAGGTCAGGTCTGGGGTAAAGGGAACAGCAGGAGTTCAGCTGTTGCCACTTTGCGTCTGCATCTCACCAGCTGAGGCGTTCACTTGAACTCCTCAGGCACAAACACTGCTCCTCACTCATCTTCATAAGCACACAGCATCTAGGACGATGCCAGGCACAGCCGCTGCCTCATGCATGACTCTGAACTGTCCCAGCCCTGGGTGCCTGGTCTCTGGCAGCTCATGGCTCCCTCTTGCCTGCCCCAAATAAGAGGAGACAGGCTTGGAGGAGACCCATCACTTTATTTTTTTGAGATAGAGTCTTGCTATGTCGCCCAGGCTGGAGTGCAGTGGCATGATCTAGGCTCACTGCAAACTCTGCCTCCCAGGTTTAAGCGATTCTTCCACCTCAGCCTCCCAAGGAGCTGGGACTACAGGCTGTGCCACCATGTCTGGCTAATTTTTGTATTTTTAGTAGAGACAGGATTTCTCCATGTTGGCCAGGCTGGTCTCAAACTCCTGACCTCAAGTGATCCGCCTGTCTCAGCCTCCCAAAGGGTTGGGATTACAGGCATGAGCCACCACGCCTGGCCTGAGACCCACAACTTCTGTAGAGCTCTTTATAGTTTGCACAAAGTACCTCCTCAGCTGTTGACACTCTTAATCTTCATAAACCCTGGAGAGATCAGTGGGGCTGAGACAATTAATCCCCATTCTAAAGACAAAGGTCCACAGAGGTCAAGGAATGTGTCCAAGTTCACACAGCTAGGAGTGCCAGATCTGGGACTTAAACTTGGATCTCCATACTCTGCATCTTGAGTTCTTTTCTCTGCTCCTTGGGACAGCCCCCCAACCTGAGTGACAACATTACGTACAAAACTGCTCCACACATTCCAGAATGAGCATCTGTTCCTCATCCTCAAGGGTGTCAAGTCAAGAGGCCTGGAGGGAGGGAGAGAGGAAGGGACAGGGAAGTCAACACCCCCTGCTAGTGGGGATGCCCTCCTCCCCCATTCTCACCTCTTCTCTCAGCTGATGATTCTTCTCTTCCCGCAGCCTCAGCTTCTCCTGCAAGGCTTCCAGCTGTGGGCAGTGGTGCTGGTGCAGCAATGCCTCCTGCGAAATCCTAGGGGAGGGAGGAATGGGAGTCAGGGTGCAGAGAGTGGGGCTTCCCAGTTCCCACTGGCCCTCCCCACCAGGGCTAAGAGCGGTGTTCTCAACTAGTTCCAGCAACCCTGCCGGCAAGCACATCACCTGTGTTCCTCTTAGCAAATGAGGAAATTGAGGCTCAGAGAAACGACTCGCAGGTGCAAAGGCAGGAACTCACAGCTTGGGGGCATCACAGGGATGAGCACGCTGCTGGTCTTCCTCTGCTTCCTCCTCTTCCTCCTCATCAGAATCTGAGTAGAGCTGGAGGAGGTCATCCCGCAAGTTCACCTGGTGTCTGAGGTGTAAAATCTGGCAGGAAGAGAGAGGAGCCATGGGCTGGGAGTGGGTAGGGGCAGGAGAGGGTCCTGGCATGAGGTGGGTGTAGACTGGCCCCCTATCCTCTCCTCCCCACCCAGTTACCTCCTCCTTGGCTGAGCCCAGCAGGGCTTCCAGCTTGCTGTTCTCCTCCATCAAAACACTGTTCTGTTTCACCAGAGACTGGCCGATGCGAGCTGCAGTGTTCAGGTCCCTCTCTCTCTGCAGAAGGACCATCACCATAGGTAATGCTCTCCCAGCATCTGGGATCTCCCAGACAGGTGGGAGAAGCTGGTGGGGGCGGACACAGGGGTCAGAGGGAGGCTAGGCCCCTAAGAGAACCCTCCCCATCCCCTAGTTCACTAGGGTACTAGACCAGAGTCTGCCATTAACCCATTGTGGAACCTGACTCAGTTTCCCCTCATGGAAAAAGAAGATCAGACCAGATTGGCTGTGAGAGCTCTTCCAGCCTGAACATCCCACATCGACCTGTCTTCCATAAGAAGGACCCTTACCTGGGCCCTGAGAGACTACCAATCAGGAAATAAACAAGACCCTCACCCCTACAGGACAGAATTAGAATAAGGGCCTGCCTGAATCAGGAAGGCAGTACACACCTCCTCCAGCAAATATAACATCACGCTGACGTCTTCCTGGGTAATCTTTTTGACTGGCGGATGTAGGTTAGGACACAGTGCTGCAGGAGGAGGCAGGTGGGGAGAAAAGGCCCAGCCAGGTCAGCAAAAAGGAGCAGATGCTACCAGCAACCAGCTGTTTCCCATCCTATACTCAGTTCTCCAACAAGCGTCATCAGGAGAGAAGAATGGGCTCCCCTCCTCCCCCCACATCCTTCCCTTACCCCTCGGCACTCAACACTCCTTTCCCTGCTCCCAGGGCCAAGTGGACTGGGTTTTGGGGGTTTGTTTTGTTTTTATGAGACAAAGTCTCGCTCTTACCCCCCAGGTTGGAGTGCAATGGCGTGATCTCGGCTCATTGCAACCTCTGCCTCCCAGATTCAAGCAATTCTCCTGCTTCAGCCTCCGGAGTACCTGGGGTTATACACACCCGCTTTCTTGTTCCTCTTCTGCCTCGTGGCGGGTGTGTATAACCCCAGCCACCACGCCCAGCTTATTTTTGTATTTTTAGTAGAGACAGGGTTTCACTATGTTGGCCAGGTTGGTCTCGAACTCCTGACCTCATGATCCGCCCCCCTCCCCCGCCCCCCCCCCCGTCCTCCCAAAGTGCTGGCTGGGATTACAGGCGTGAGCTTATTTTTTTTTAACCCCTGGAGGAGCCTGAAGTGAGTGAGTCACAGTCCTCCAGGCTCAGAAACTGGGCTCTCCAGACACCTGGGTCCCTGGCGCCTAGGAGAATGGAGACAGCCAGGGGAAGTATAGCCTCAGACTGGCTCATCACCCCCTACCCAGAAGGCAGTGCAATGGAGTCTCCTGGGTCAAACAGACGCAGCCACCTACCCTGCACCTGTTGCGTGTGCAGAGGACAGGAGGAAGACTTCACTAGATTAGGGGACACTCGAGCCTCTAGGCCCAATCCAGGGATCTCCCCCGACCCGCAGGAGGATAGAAGGAGAGAAGGGGCGGGGAGAAGAGCGCGACCTTGCCCCCATACCCGCAACCAAAAAGTGGGCAGAACACCCCCCTCCGCGCACCCGCCCCTCCATCGCACGCAAGCCCGGTCGGCCAGCGCGGGCAGCGCCCTCCTGCAGCCCCCCGCCCCTCTCCTGGCACTGCGGTAGATCCAGGAGAGGGGCGCTGAGGAGGGGCAGATCTGCTGCAGCAAGAGGCGCGTGGAGGCGGGTGGACTAGCGCGCAGGCCCTAGGACCTGACTCACCGGCACAAACCAGGGGACAAAAGCGGAGGAGGAGATGGGGAAGGGGTGACCAGACAGATGCCGCAGTGATATCGCGGGGGTGGTGGACGAGTGACACTGAATGCCAGAGGGGGCGGGGCGCCTGGACCCGATGGGGCCACTTCCCGGTTTACCTTCCTCCAGCTCCCGAATAAAGGCGGCGCGCTCAGGGCCGGACACCCCGGGTCGCCGGCCAAAGTAGGCGGCTGGTGTCTTCCAGATGCCCGCTGCCTTTCCAGTCCCCAGGCCAGTGGCCCGGGAACCAAACGGCCCTTGGAATACGAAGCGGGCCCACGGCGCGTCCGAATTGTTGGGCACAGACCGGACATCCCCTTGGATGGCCGAGAATGCAGACAGGGGCCGGGCTCCTGCCTTGACTCCAGCCTCGGAGGCCGGGCGAGCTCAGGTGCCGGCTTCCGAGAGGACTTGGGATCCAGAGGCAGCCCGGGATCCTGCTCTCTGTCCAGTGCCCCGTGCCTGCGGCTGCGCAGAGGACTCCAGAACGGGACTGGCTGAGGGCGAGGGTGCACAGGTGAGTACTGCTGGGTGTCCGTGTCCGGGTCCCGGCCGGCTCCCAGCGCAACCCATCCCGGACACCTTCGGGTGCATCTTGAGTCCGCTGTCAGCTGCAGCGGCAGGACCTTTATAACCTGCGCCAGCCGCCGGGCCGGACCACGCGTAGGGGTGGGGGCTGCTGAGAAGCAACTAGTGGCAAGCGGGACTCAGAGCCGCGCGGGAGGGGAGCTAGTGGTGACGGAACAGAGCACAGTAACAAAAGGAGGGAAAGAAGGGCGAGTGCAGGTTCCGGATGGCTCCGAGTTGGGATGGGAGCGAAAGACTTCTTCTCCCCTCTCCATCTCCGGAGAATGGTTCTGCCCAAAGCCGCGGCTGCCCCCGGACTCGCGGGACCCCGGCTGGGGGCGGTCCCTCCCCTGCTCCCGCGCGAGGGTTTCGGGTGCCACCCCTGGTGTAGAAGCTGCCAACCCAACGTTGTGCATACCGTCTGGGGTGGCCAGCGCATTAGGGCAGCGCTGCGTCTTTCCCGGTTGACTGGGAGAGACATTCCAAGCTCCAGTGCGCTTCCAACGTGCTGCCCCGCCTGGCTCTGCAACCTGACCCTTGCGCTCACACCCCAGTGCTCGCGCCACTCGACATCTTCCATTTGATTGGATTAACTAGTTCTTCACCTCCAACCCTAATTCGCTTTGCCCTCCTCTTGCCATCCTGGCGAACCCCTGTTCTCCTTGGGAGACGCCGCTTAAAAGTCTCCCTGTACCCAGGCGCGGTGGCTCACGCCTGTAATCCCAGCACTTTGGGAGGCCGGGGCAGGCGGATCACCTGAGGTCAGGAGTTCCAGACAAGCCTAGCCACATGGCGAAACCCTGTCTTTACTAAAAATACAAAAATTAGCCGGGCATGATGGCGTGCGCCTGTAGTCCCAGCTACTCAAGAGACTGAGGCAGGAGAATTGCTTGAACCTGGGAGGTAGAGGTTGCAGTGAACCGAGATCGTGCCAATGCACTCCAGCTGGGGCTACAGAGCAAGACTCCCCCCTCAAAATAAATAAATAAATAAATAAATAAATAAATAAATAAATAAATAAATAAAATTAAAAACATTTTAAAGTATCCTACTGGAAATGTTGGGTAGACAATTAGATGTATAATCCTGAGTGTAGGGGAGAGACAGGACTGGAGATTTAAATGTAGGAGTCATTGCTCTTTGATGGCCATTTAAGGCTTAGACTGGGTGAGATCCCCCAAGAGACTGAGAGAAGACAGATAAGAGTGCCCAGAATTAACCCCCCTAGGATTCAGAGGGCAGAAAGAGGAGGAGGAGGCATCAAAAAGAAGACTGGGATGAGTGGGGCAGTGAAGTAGAGGAAAACCAGGAAAGTTGGGTCCTAGAAAGTAAAGAAAATGTTTCACGTGGAGAGTGGCCACCAGTGTTGGGTGGTGCTGCTGGTCAAAGACTGAGGATAGAGACTCGGCTTGGCAAACCCGGGTCATGGCAAGACCCTTGGCAAGAGCGGTCTTGCGGGGCCAGGCACAGTGGCTTACACCTATAATCCTAGCACTTTGGGAAGCCTAGGCGGGTGGGTTGCCTGAGGTCAGGAGTTCGATACCAGCCTGGCCAACATAGTGAAACTCCGTCTCTACTAAAAATACAAAAAGCTAGCTGAGCATGGTGGTGGGTGCCTGTAATCCCAGGTACTTGGGAGGCTGAGGCAGGAGAATCGCTTGAACCCGGGAGGCAGAGGTTGCAGTGAGCCGAGATTGCGCCATTGTATTCCAGCCTGGGCAACAAGAGCGAAACTCTGTCTTTAAAAAAAAAAAAAAAAATTTGCTGGGGCATGGTGGTGCATACCTGTACTACTTAAGGGGCTGAGGTGGGAGGATCACCTGAGCACAGTTCGAGGCTGCACTCCAGCCTGGGTGACAGAGCAAGACCCTGTCAGAAGGAAGGAAGGAAGGGAGGGAGGGAGGGAGGGAGGGAGGGAGTATAGAAAACTGTATTGAAGAAATCTGCAAGAAAGGAGGGCTGGAAGAGGGCACAGGAGCTGAAGGAGGATGTGAACGCTGGGGAGTGTGTTTTGAAGATGGGAGAGAGGACAGTATGTTTACATGCTGATGGAAATGTTCCCTCAGGGAGGAGAAAGCAGGTGCAGAAAAGACAGCCCATCTCCCAGAATAATTCTGGAAATGGAGGAACTTTCATAGGCTAACCCGTTCTCCTCCTTGTTCAAAGTCTGCATGTTTTCTTTTCTTTCTTTCTTTTTTTTTTTTTTTTTTCCGAGACGGAGTTTCATTCTTGTTGCCCAGGCTGGAGTGCAATGGCACAGTCTCGACTCACCACATCCTCCACCTCCCGGGTTCAAGCGATTCTCCTGCCTCAGCCTCCCGAGTAGCTGGGATTACAGGCATGCACCACCACACCCAGCTAATTTTGTATTTTTAGTAGAGACGGGGTTTCTCCATGTTGGTCAGGCTGGTCTCGAACTCCCGACTTCAGGTGATCCGCCCCACCTTGGTCTCCCAAAGTGCTGGGATTACAGGCGTGAGCCACCACGCCCAGCCCAAAGTCTGCATGTTTTCTGTGGTTTCTTTGTCAGCAGAAAGCTTGAAGGAGACACAACCCCAGGGTTTGCTGCGACAGTGAGATTGAAGAACATGAGGAGGTGGCATCAGCACAGCCCAGGCTTCCGTGAGACTGCAGCTCCGTAGGCTCTGCCGAGTGGTCCTCCCACAGCCCAGCTTCCTGGCCTGTCTCTCTGTGCCTTGGACATCTCTGCAGCCCCAACCGCCAAGCACAGAACAGGGCATACAGAAGAAGTCTATTACACTCCTGCTGAATTAAATTGTTTCTGGTCCATGAGGAAGAAGCCCTGGGAACCCCTGGAGAGTTTGAGGGGGAAGAAGGCAGTGGGATGGAGAAGACAAAGATGAAGTTGGGAGACCCTGAAAGCTCCCCCAGCTGACCACACCCTCTAGGTCAGTACACTGGCAGCCAGCAACTCTGGCTATGGCCACCAGAGGGCAGTGCCAGCCCGCATACCTCCCCACGTGGCTTCCTCACCTACAGGCCCAGTCGCCCCACAGCAGGTGGAGTAGGGACGGTGACTCCATTTTACAGATGGAGAAACCAGGGCTCAGGGCCCCGTCATTCTGGAAGTAAGCATTTTGGCCTGGCTACCCTTTCCATGGCCTAGGGCTGTCCAGGAGACCCGGGGCGGTCTCTGATCCAGGCCTCTCAAGTGGTTTTCCTCTGTCCACTGCCCCCTCCCTTTCCTGCTTCTGGTCTGGGGGAGAAATCAGACACAGCAGAGACCCTCGGCCTCCTGCCCTCCCTCCCAGTGTGCACCCACGGACCCTCCTGGACCCAAAAGAGGATGGGAGGGTGCAGAAGACTTGCCAGGCTGCAAAGCCAGACCACCCACCATCTAATTGTGCACATCCCCCTGAACTTGGGCACATTCACTCCAGTGCCCAGCCCTGGGCAGCACACAGGTGGTTCAGGCCCCTCCTCCTGACCCCTCCCCTGGCCTGACCCTGGAAAAAATCACCTGGAACAGGGTAGGTCATAGAAAGAGCCCCTAAAGGTCGGTGCCAGGGACCTGGGTGGGGCCAGGCACCAGGGTTACTTTTTGCAGGGGAGCAGGGTGGAGAGGCACCCTGAACTAGGGACAAGGGAGACCTTGTCACCCCTGCCGCAGTCCTGCTGTCTCCTACAGGCCTTTTGGGGGCCCTCCCCGATCTCCTGCAGTGGTCTCTGATCCAGGCCTTCCCCTCCAGAACCAGGCAATGGCCGCCATAGCCCTCACCTCCACCACAGCAGCCAGGCGCAGTCCCTCCTCACATCAGCAGAGAATGGGGGACTTGAGGGCCCAAGCCCCTCCACATCCCCAGGGGTTCCCCTTTAACTGTTCTTTTTGTTTTTTTGAGAGTGAGTCTCACTCTGTCGCCCAGGCTGGAGTTCAGTGGCATGGTCTTGGCTCACTGCAGCCTCCACCTCCCGGGTTCAAGCGATTCTCCTGCTTCAGCCTCCCGAGTAGCTGGGACTACAGACGCCTGCCACCACGCCCATCTAATTTTTGTATTTTTAGTAGAGACGTGGTTTCACCATGTTGGCCAGAATGGTCTCAATCTCTTGACCTCATGATCCACCCGCCTTGGCCTCCTAAAGTGCTGGGATTACAGGCGTGAGCCACCACGCCTGGCCAGTTTTTTTGTATTTTTAGTAGAGACAGGGTTTCACCATTTTGCTCAGGCTGGTCTCAAACTCCTGACCTCAAGTGATCTACCTAGCCTCGGCCTCCCAAAGTGCTGGGATTACAGGCGTGAGCCATCATGCCTGACTCCCTTTAACTTTTGTCCTCTTCTTAAAGAGCGCAGCCCAGTTCCTGGGCCACTGAGCCCCTCTGGCCTGGAGCAAAGAGGTAACAAAGTGCTGGGGGCAGCTGGGGCCCTGAGCCCTCTGCCTGCTGTCTTCCATGGCCCCGCTGCTGGCCAGGACCGAAAGGGAGAGAGGCAAGGAGAGAGAGGACAGAGAGCAAGTGCCAGGGGCGAGGGCAAGGGGCTGAGGTGGCTGGGACCTCAGGTGGAGAGTACTGACCCCCACTCCGAAGTTCTTCCCCATCTGGGGGCTCCCATCCTGGAGGAAGGCCCCACCTCCCACACAGGCTCACTCCTGCTCTTGGTTCTGATGTCTGACTCCTCCTCCGAGAAGCCCTCCCTGGTGGGGCTCACCTGTGTTAGGTCCCCTGTGCCAGATGGGGCCTCTCTGTGTCCTCCCCTCCCCGGGCATTCTCTCCCAACTCTGCCCGTTCACAGGGTAAGATGATGTCATTGACAAGATGATCTATTTAGTAACAATGAGAGCAGTATCTGTTTGGCTCACTTTTGTATTCTCAGGACTCTAATGAGGCATCCAATAAATACTTGTTGAATGAACACATCAGTGGATTCTCTGGGTATGGACAGCGGGAGTGGTAATTGCCTTGGGGAAGTGACTTCTGGTCAGGGTGAGATCCTAGGACTCTGGACTCCCAAACCAGGGCTCCACATCCCCTGGCACAGGTGAGCCCTACCAGGAACCCTCGAGGGGCACCTGTGGGAGAGGGTGGAGCATGGCCAGGACGTGAGCCACAGATCCCCAGGGAGTGACCCCCAGCACAGCCAGGTGCCCACTTCTTCCCTAAAGCCCTCAGCCCAGCCCCGCTCCTTTCCCCAGGGACCAGAGCAAGAGGCCTGGGCTGGCCTGATAGGGAGCTGGATCCAGCAGGTCGGCAGTACCCTGACCTGGGAGACTCCGTGGGAAGCAGCTGGGAGTGGGGGGACCACAGCACCCACTATGAGGAGGGCAGGGCCATCAGCTGCGCCCAGCCTGCTGGACAGGCAATGCCAGGTGGTGGTGAGCCTAGAAGGATGTTATCTGGCCCTTTGGCCTCCCTGAGCTACCTCCAGGCTCAGGGATAACACCAAGGAGCCCTTTGCTCCCTGACTTCTGTCCCCAGAGTCAACAACTCCCTCTCATCCCTGTGTCCATGTCCAGGCTCTGAGCCCTTCCAGGGACAATTTGTGGGGTTGTGGACAGAGA